ACACCTTGCACGAGGAATGAGGATCGTGAAGGGTCAGGTACAATTCCCTCTTGCTGCCTTTGTCTCCAGGCAGGATTGAGCTGGGGTAAAGCAGCCTCTGTCCAGCAGGAGCGGCCCAAGAGGTGCCAACAAGGATGAACACGAAGGACGGGAACGTGCCCTGCTCTGAAACTCCCAGTGAGGCTGAACATGGAAATCTCCTGCATTATGGAGATTTTTCCTCACTTTGTGTGGGGAATCCTCCCTCTGGGCTGCAGGATGTGCTCTGGGATAGATCTGCTCTGCTCAAACCCCCCTGAGAGCAGGGCAGAGCTGCTCTGATGGAAGTGGTGAATGGAGAGAGACCTGCCCAGGGAAACATAGAAATGCCAGGGAAAAGGGAAAACTGTTCCTTATCCCTCCCTTGGGGGTCACAGATCAAGTGCTGGCCCTGCCAGGGAATGGGCACGGCCCCGAGGCTGCCAGAGCTCCAGGGATGCCCAGGGTGGGATGTTGGGGGGTCTGGGCAGGGCAGGGGGGCACTGAATGATCCCTGGAGGTTTTTTCCATCTCAGGATATTCCATGATTCTACAACAAGCCCAGGCCTAGGATTCGGCTTTAGGGTGTTTCATCCAAGGTCTGCACCTCAGACATGGAGTTGGGAAGGATCCTGAGGATCTGAGCCCTGGAGGGGCCATTCCACTGCAGAGACCCCTGGCCCAGGCTGCCAGAAATGCCCAGTTTGGGAAGAGGGGGGTGGCACATCTGGGACCGCTCCATCCCTCCCTGTCCTCCCAGAGCCATCCCGCTGCATCCAGCGGTGCCGCTGTGCCTCGCACATCTGTATCCCGCTGCTTTCGGAGGAGAAAACCCCTCCAAGGCTCCAGGGAAGCGGGAGCTGATGGATTTTTGGTGACATTTGCGGTTTTCCGAGCGCTCCGAGCGGAGCCCGCGTTGTGCGGAGCGAAGTTGCCATCTAGTGGGACAGAGCATCCCTGCAGAGCTGCTCGGGGCATCCCTGCTCCCCGCCCGGGGATTCATCCCCAGTGGGAATTATCCAACGGGAAAAGCTTCCATTTAACCCTTGGGATGAGCACAGAGCTCCCACAAGGGGCCACCGCTCTCCATCTGCAAACTGAGCAGGGATTAAATGCATTAACCCCGACCTTGCTTTGAACCCCAAACTTGCTTTTATCCCACTAATTTACGGCAGGATGGATCCTGTGTGTGTGGACATGGGAAGGAAAAAGCCTCAGGATGATGTTCTGGGAATTTCCTGCCTGCCTGGGACCTGCTTTGGGCTCTGAGGCTGCAGCTGCAGCTCCAGTGCAGCGTTCAGTGACTGCAGAGCTGTTTTGACTCCTTCCCTAATTGCCAGATTTCCCAGGGTTCTAATTAAAACAGGAGCTCTGTGTAATTCCAACAGCCATTGGATGCAGCTCCTGCAGGGAATTGGACTAAAAAAAAAAAAAAGGTAATAAACCATTTCTTTTCCTACAAATCAGCAGCACACAAAGGGTGTGTGTCTCCCTTTATGGTGAGATCCCAGCCTAAACACCCCCAAATACCCCCAAAGGTGCTCAGGCTGCAATTCCTGATGGCAACTCCACAGCTCTGCCTTCTTTGAGTATCCCACAATTTGAAAACAGTTGGCAGATGTTGCAATTTGCTGATCTTTGTCCTGTAAGCACCAGGAGTTCTCCAGGGTTTCACAGAATCATGGAATGGCCTGGGTGGGAAGAGATCTCGGAGCTCATCCCAATCCCCCCCAGCCATGGCAGGGTCACCTCCCACTGTCCCAGGCTGCTCCAGCCCCAATGTCCAGCCTGGCCTTGGGCACTTCCAGGGATCCAGGGGCAGCCCCAGCTGCTCTGGGCACCCTGTGCCAGGGCCTGCCCACCCTCACAGGGAACAATTCCTGCCCAATATCCCATCCATCCCTGCCCTCTGGCAGTGGGAGCCATTCCCTGTGTCCTGTCCCTCCATCCCTTGTCCCCAGTCCCTCTCCAGCTCTCCTGGAGCCCCTTTAGGCCCTGGAAGGGGCTCTGAGGTGTCCCTGGAGCTTCTCCTCTCCAGGTGAGCAAGAGGGAAAAGAAAATAAAGTAGAAATAGAAATAAATAAATTAGGGGGGAAAAATCACTCCTTGAGTAGAATTAAATTCCTTGTCCTTGGATCATTCCTTGTGCTTGGTTTTGTGTCAGTGGAAGGAAGATCTTGCTCTCAAAGTTCCATGAAATTAATTTTTTTTCTTATTTCCACAGTTTTTCTAATTGATTCTCCCATTTTTTTCCCTCAGCTTCTTCAGACTTTCTCTCTTCTTGCAGTAAAGTGTGGAAAGTTTTTTTCACCAGATTTTACCTTTTTTTTTTTTCTTTACTTTTTCCTGGGGGAGAAGTGATGGGATTTTTCCCCTATTCCCTCTGGGATTGGGAAGTGGGACAATTTCCAGGCTCAGCTGCTCCGTGGCTGTCAAAATCCTTAATCCCAGCAGGGCAGCAAAAGTTTTATCTCTTTTCTTATCATTTATTCCCTGACAAAATGGTAGCAGATACTGCTTTTTGTTTTTCTCCCTTCCTCCCCATAATTTTCCATCTTTTTCTGTAGTTTCCTTTTGTTTTTATTTCCTTTTTCCCTTCGATTTTCCATCCAGTTTCTCACATCACCCAAGTGGAAAAATATTTTCTTTGGTCCTGCTTGGGTGGGTGGGTTTGTTTTGGTTTTTTTCCCTCTCATTCTCTTTCCACAAGGGATGAAGAAACATTCCTGAGGGGAGGAATTAAATCCCATCCCATCCCACCCCTGCCATGGCAGGGACACCTCCCACTGTCCCAGGCTGCTCCAAGCCCTGTCCAACCTGGCCTTGGGCACTGCCAGGGATCCAGGGCAGCACTTCCAGGATCAGCCAGTAACAAATTTCCTCCTTTTCCACCCTCATTATTCCAATTTTCCCAGCAAAGGTGGGAATTTCTCACCATGGCCACGATCAGCTGGAAGCATCCACAGGGAATGGGAATGAAAAAAGCCCCAAAAATTGTCTGCCAGAGCCAGAAATGGCAACAGGGGTTGTTCAATGTGAGTAAAAAATGCATTTAATAAATTTAATTACACCAAAATTAAGAGAATTAATTGTCCCTGCTTAATGGGCATTGATGGTAGAGGACTGAACAGCAATCCCAGCCATTCCATGGAAATTATGGGATTTCAACAAAACACACACCTGATGGAGCAGATGATGGAAAGGATGGAATTCGAGGATGGAAAGAGTGGAATTCTCCAGGCAGGGTGGGAATTTTTGCCATGGGACCACCAAAATCCCCCTCCAAGCAGAGTTTCCCTCAGGAGTGAAACACTCGTTGCCACTTGTGCCTTTCAGAGGGGTTTAGTTACAAAATGTCTTAAATTGGGAATAAAGGCTGTGCTGGAGCAGGAATTCCTGGAATCAGGAAGAAGACAGCGAATGCACATTTAGTTCAGCACTGCTGCGCCCTCATTCCTGTGGGGAATAATTAACCAGGAGAATAAAAATGTCTTTTCCAGGCTGAAATTGCCTCAGAATAGTCAGAATTAATCCCTGAACCCACCCCGTTCCCTGTGGCACGTCTGGAGTTCATCATCATCATCATCATCATCATCATCATCATCATCATCATCATCACCATCCAAGGAATCGAGGTGATGAACCAGGACTGCCCAGGAAAAGTGGGAATGAGGGAGGTACCTTTTCATTTGAGGTTGATGAAGTTGCTCCAGCCCCAGTGTCCAACCTGGCCTTGGGCACTGCCAGGGATCCAGGGGCAGCCCCAGCTGCTCTGGGCACCCTGTGCCAGGGCCTGCCCACCCTGCCAGGGAACAATTCCTGCCCCTGGAAGGGGCTCTGAGGTGTCCCTGGAGCCTTCTCCTCTCCAGGTGAGCACCCCCAGCTCTCCCAGCCTGGCTCCAGAGCAGAGGATGAGGAATTCCCAGCTGTTTTACTGGGAAGTGCTGCACTTCAGACCCTTTAGCAACATCAGCAACTTCCCAAGCAATCCCTGGGATCCTCTGGATGGCTCCAGAGCGAGGCAGTGGCTGCAGTGTCTGAGCACATTCCAGCTGCACCCCAGGGTGGGAAAAAAGGTCAGAAATGGGGGGGGAAAGGTGAATTCATGGATATTTGAAAACATCTGACTCCATCTGCTGCCTCACAGCCCCTTTAGAGGCTCCTCCCAGGAAAGTGTTCAATTGGTTCCAAAATCCCAACAGCACCACAGGGCTGGAAAACTGCATCCCAAGAGCTCAATTCCCAGCTCAGTTCCCATTGGAAAGGATCCTGTTCCAGAACCAAACCAAAAGATCTCCATCGAATCACGTCCTTTTCACTCTTTTGTTTTCCCTGGGGAATAATTTCAGTTTCTTGTGGCAGTGGATCCAAAGGATCCAGGACCCAGCACATGGCACCAGGACCCGGACCCAGGCACCAGCACCAGGACCCTGAACCCTAAAATTTGGCACCCACCCCTATGTGGCACCCTGCACCTCAACCTTGCTACCCTACAGCCCAAAACTGGGTCCCTGCACCAAACTTTGGGTCCTTGCACCCCAAAACTGGATCCCTGCACTACCTGGGACCCAGCACCACCCCAGGCTGTGCCCCAGAGGTGCCCCCAGGATTCCCTCCCTGGTTCTGTGACATCACAAGGGAGCACCTGGCACTCGGACAAGCGGAAAATCCCCCGGGATGAAGTCCTGGCTGTGACCATTCAGGGATTTGGGAACCATTTCTCCAGCAATCTCCTGCTGAAGGGTCAGTTCTGTGTCCCTTGGTGCCATCCACATGTCCAGGAGCCCTGAGGTTGGCAGAGACACCCATGGAGCCTTGCAAACATTTGGGGCTTAATTAAAAACTGTATAAAAATGGGTTTGTGGCACTGTCCTGCTTGTGAAACTTAAAAAGAAAATAATAAATTCTGAACTTCAGCCAGGGACTGGCCAAGCATCCTGAGGGATTCCAGTTTTTCCCTGATCCCACACTGCAGAGAAACAAACAATACTCACTTTTATTTTCATTGGAAAGAAAACACACAAATATTTCAATCCTCATCCATTCCCTCCCCTGGGCACAGCAATGAAATCCTGCAAGAAACTCCCATTTTTCCCTTTGCACGTGGAGAAACTTTCCTTGGATATTCTCCTGCAAATTAAAACCAGCATTTCCCAAGATGTGCAGAGATGGAGGAATGGGTTTCTCCTTTTCCAAATTAAATTAAAGCATCCAAACAGAACAATTTCCTTGGGTTTTCTCTGTCCCGGGGTCAGCGATCCCAGCCTGGCTCCATGGGCAGATCCCACTTGGCCAAGGGCACTTGGCAGCTCCAGGATCTGTCACAACCTCGTGGTGCTTTTTGAGGAATTTTCAGGAGCTTTGTTCTGACTATTGTAATTCCATAACTGAGACCTCAGTGTCCAGGGAGAAAACTCAGAATCATGGAATCATTAGGGCTGGAAAAGACCTCCAAGACCATCAAGTCCAACCTTTGAGCAAATCCCACTAAACCCCATCCCAAAGTGCCACATGGACCCGTTTTTTTGACACTTCCAGGGATGGTGATTTCACCACCGCCCTGGGCAGCTTGGGCCAGTGTTTAACTTCCTTTTCAGCTTGGAATTTTTCCCAAATATCCAACTGTGGTGGAACAGAAAATAAAATGGCACCTGCACTCCCCCCCGGCTCTGTCCCGGAGTGAGAGATGGGAGAGTGACCAGGGGAGGAGCTGCAGGGTGGGAAGAGGATGTGGGAGCCCTGTGCCTGATCCCTGGGATTGCATGGCCATCCCAGCTGATTCCCTCAGGATGGAACAGTGACCCTGGGATCACTGGTGCCGTGGGGTGGTGCTGGTGGGACCTGCCTGGAGGCTGTTCCCACCGGGAATTGTGCTCCGTGATGGAGCTCTGCCCCTCTTCCTTTCCTTGGGTCAGCGCTGGGCCGGTGCCAGAGGGGGAGTCCCCACCTCGGGCTGGCCCCGGGTCTCCTCTCTGGTGCCCAATTGTCCCCCAGGGCCGTCGGGCTCCCCGTGTCCCGTGTCTTCTCCAGCTGCAGCTCCTGGAAGTGCTGCTGGAGCTGCTGCAGGAGCCCCCGGGAGCTCAGGGCCGGGGAGGGATGGGGATGTTCCCTCTGTCCCTGCACAAAAGAGGAAAAGGTCAGCTCGGGCCAGGTTTGGGAGCTCCAGGAGGATCCTTCCCACACATTCCTGGTTTCTCTTGGCTTGGAGATCAGCCCTGGACTCTTGGGGCTGGACCTTTCACCAGACAGCGCTGATGGAGCCTCTGGAGCTGCTCCGGGGGTGCCCGTGGCTCTCTGAGACCCCAACCCCGCTGAGACCCGGCCCGGGCTCGGAGCAGGAGCAGGAGCTGGGCATTCACCTGGACCAGGGGCTCCCTCGGGGCTCCTGGAGCTGGGACCTTCTCCGGCTGCTGCCTCTGCTCCTCCTCCTCCTCCTCCTCGGGGACAGAACCAGGGCTGGCACCCCCCGAGCCCCAAAGGGAGAGCTCCAAGGGCGAGGAACGGGGCTGATGCTGCCATGGGCTCCGTGTCCTTCCTCCCAGCCCCCAAATCACCTCCTGCCTCTGTCCGGCGGCTCCCAGGGCTCCCTGCAGCCGCTGCCACTGCCCGAGGCGCCGCTGGATTTGCTGCCGGAGCCGCCGCAGGACGCGGAGAGCGCGGCTGGGGGAGGGCAGGGAGGAGCTGCAGGGACAGGGAGGGAGGGAGGCTCGCACCAGTGGGACCCCCCCGTCCCCCTGGGCAGCTCCTGGGACCCACCCGAGCGCTGCCGGCGAGGGGCCGGGTCCCACGGCACTGCTGG